TCTATCTATCTATCTATCTATCTATCTATCTATCTATCTATCTATCTGTCTCTCTCTCTCTCTCTCTCTATATATATATATATATACACAGGCAGACGGCTACAATCTGGAAGGCATGCTTTCTATTCCTCTCTGTACATTAAAGGAGAAGATTTTGGATATCTTAAATTTCATTAAGGTAGACAAGTCCCAGAGCCTGATGGGATCTATGCCAGGTTTCTGCGAAAGACAAAGGAAGAAATAGCTGGGGCATTAGCAGATATCTTCACATCCTCCTTGACAACAAGCAAGGTTCCAGAAGACTGGAGATCAGCGAATGTTGTTCCCTTATTTTAGAAAGGAAACAGGGATAATCCAGGAAATTATAAGCCAGTCAGTCTGACAACTGTGCTGGGGAAACTCTTAGAGAAGATATTGAGGAACAGAATACATGCACATTTGGAAGAAAATGGACTAGTTAACGACAGGCAGCATGGATTCGTACGGGAAAGGTCAAGTTTTAACAACTTGATCGAATTTTTTGAAGGCGTGACAAAGATAATTGATAACTGAAGAGCAATGAATGAAGCTTTTTTCTACTTCAGTAAAACATTTGATAAAGTCCCACTTGGCAGGTTGGTACAAAACTAAAATCGGATGGGATTCTGTGTTGGCTGGCGAGCTACAAAACTGGCTTAGTCATAGAAGACAGAGAGTAGCGCTGGAAGGGCATTTGTCAAAATGGAGACCAGTAACTAGTGGTGTTCCACAGGGAACAATCTTAGATCCTCTGTTATTTGTGGTATATATAAATGATCTAAGGAAAATGTTGGTGGTCTGATTAGTAAGTTTGAGGATGACACAAAGATTGGTGAAGTTGCTGAAAATGCTGATGATTGTGAAAGGATACGACAGGAGATATATTGATTGGCGATTTGGGCATAGAAATGGCAGAAAGAATTTAATACAGAGAAATTCGAAAATATGCATTTTGGAGGATCAAATTTAGGTGTGAATTGTATTGTTAATGGCAGAACCTTAGGAACATTAACCTACAAAGGGATCTGGGCATGCAGGTCCACAATTTCCTAAAAGTGTCAACACAGGTGGTCAAAATGATTAAGAAGACATATGGCATGCTTGTCTTCATCTGTCGGGGCATGAGTAGAAGAGTTGGCAAAACATGTTGCAGCTATACAAAATCCTTGTTAGGCCGCATTTGGAGCAATGTGTGCAGTTTTGGTCGCCACATCACCAGAAGGACGTGGAAGCTTTGAAGAGAGTGCAGAGGACATTCACCAGGATGTTGCCCGGTCTCAAGGACATTGGCTGTGAGGAAAGGTTAAAAGACTACGATTGTTTTCACTGGAAAGACGACTGAAAAATAATGAGAGGATCAGAAAGGGTGGATAGTCAGAGGCTTTTTCCCAGTGTTGAATTTTCAATTACAAGGGGGAACAGGTGCAAGGTGAGAGGGCAAAAGTTTAAGGGAGATGTGGGAGGAAAGGTTTTCACGCAGAAAGTGCTAGGAACCTGGATTGAACTGCCAGAGGAGGTGGTGGAAGCAGGCACTTTGGCGACATTTAAGAGGCTTCTGGATGATTAGTTGGATAGGGAGGGATAGAGGGATGTGGACTGAATAAGGTTAGAAGGGTTTTCTTTTAGTTTATTCAGGGCATGATGATCGGCACAGTCTTGGAGGGCTGAAGGGCGTGTTCCTATGCCGTGCTTCTCTTTTGTTCTTTTTTGTTCTTTCGTTCAGTGTGTTAAAATGCACAGTGATTCGGCTTAATGACTGTGACCAGGTCAGCGTGGGTCAATTCAGTGAGAGTCAACTCTTCTCCTCATGCCCTAACAAAATTTCGACGGACATGTGATGGAAACGTCAGGCACAAGACAGCAGTTTATTGATGGCAGTGTTTTATAATGGGTATCTTCAAATATCTGACTCTCTTTCTGCATAGTGGACAGCGCAGTGCCGCTGCTCAGCACCTGGTTTGCCTGCGGAGGACTTAAGAGGTATCTATGAAGGAAATACCGTTCACATTTCTTTACAAATTGTATTTTGAACCAGGGTTAATTCTTTGCTTGATTTATTTCCTCACCTCGGTGAAATAAATTGAACAAATACAACTTATCAGGGGCTGAAAAACGTGTTTGTCAATGCCAACAAATAAAATAAACTCGAATGCGCCATGAGGTGGTCTACCCGCAGCATTAGTAATGCTCACTTGTGTAAAAGCAGATCTGACAACCAGTGATCGTCAGACGTACAAATGAATTAAAAAGCAAATCTCTGACCAAAAATGCAGATTCTGCCTTCCTGAAAAATAAGTTAAAAAAACACAAGCATACGAAATGAGTCAGTCGCGGAAAGAAACTAAGAATTTAATGAAGAACCTTGAAGTAGGGTCACTGGACTCCGCTTTGTCTCCACAGCCGTGGCCAGAGCTGCTGAGTTTCACGAGCATTTTATTTCATTTAAGAATTAATTATTTTTAAATTATAATAAAGGTCAACACAAAAATAGAATTCTGATACAGAAACTGGAGCTGATGATGTTACAAAATTAAATAATCCGAGGTTTATCAACAGGAGAGTGGAGTGTAAAACACAGAATCTACAACCAACAGCACACCTCATTTCAGAACAGCAGTTCAAACCCTTCGACTGGGTTGTAGGTCTTCTTTAGGATCATGTTAGATTGCAGGGTGTTGTGAAATAGAGACTGGGTTCGATAGCAACGAAAGTTACGAGAAGGGAAAGAAAGGCAAGAAGGGAGAGAGTGGCAAAGGAAGGAAGTGAGGAAGGAATGAATGGATGGGAAAAGGTCGAAAGAATATAATAAAGAAGTAAAGAAATGATTTAACAAAAGAATCTATTCTCAATGAGAGACGCCATGTTATTTGGAACATTCCTTTTGCATGTAAGGAGTCTTCATCCATCAAGAACTATAGTTATCTGCGATTATAGAGACACAATGTATTACAGACCCATTGCAATCACTTCGCAATCGTCCGTTAATATGAAGAGACAAGACAACCAAAACTGGGACGACGATTGAACATGCACCTTTGTTACAAATCTGTCTTATATTCTAGTCATCTATACAACTGAGTGATTTCATCTCCTTCTTGTTGAAATATATACAATGATTCTAGTTCTCAACCATTTCTGGGTTTATATTCAACTGAATAGCTCTTTAACTATTCCAGCAGGAGACCATGGCTCTGTTTCTAATTTAATGATGCCTGACTTCGTTCTCACAGTCAGCGCTGTGTCAGTTATTACTGCATGAGAAACTATAACTGTTTCCATTGCACTTACATTGCTTCCTTTGTTAGTGCAGTTGATGCAATAATTCCATTTAAAAGAAATTAACTTTTCTTTAATCACACTGTTTCGAGATGTAATTATACACGTCTGCAGCAGTTAATTCTTGAACCCGGGCTCTTGGCCCAGGGGAAGGGACACTACCACCGCGCCGTCAGGTTCACCAATTAACGAAATACAAGACGAATAAGATTCCTAATTGCACAACACAATTGGGAATCTGGTTGAAATGAGAAAATATGTTTTTAGGCTAGTGAGATGACCTCAGCTTAGTTTCTATCATCCATGGCTCCACTTATTGGAGGTGTAAGAGCATGTTTTGTGGCGTGACATCCATATAATTTGCAGCCAGCAATTTGCTGACATGTATAATGGGGTCATCAATCTTGCCAAGGCTACAAAGATAATGTATGAAATCATACATTATTCATTTTGCTCACCGAACTGTAACTAATGTATAGATTGTGACATAGTTCCTCTGGAGACTCTCGCCTGGTATAATTCATGTTCCCTTTGCGCCCCAGAGCTAAAGACTGCAGCTTCAGATAATCTAGTCGTTTCTGAAAGGAAATGCATGGAGCAGCCAATGGTCTCTTCTTTGCAATTTGCTATCCCATTCTTGCAGTTATTGGTGCCCCTGGTAAGTAATACCTCTCCGATACATCTTTATTTGCCTCTGGATTATTTTCTCTTGTCTTTCAGGATAAAACTGATTTGTTTCCTAGTTCGGGACGTAGAGCCAGAAGAACGATGTGAGTGAAGTATAAGCTGAATGAGGAGCAGATTAGGTCCATGCAGCAAGCTCGGGGTGGTGTTTTCAAGTGTAAATATAGAAATGGATTACTGTTCGGATATAGAACTAACAGCCATCAAATAAGTCAAATAGTTTTTTATAAAGAGGGAATGACTCGATGATTAAAGACATCTGTCAATCAGCTGAAAATTGTTGGTCTAGTTGTTGTTGGTTCTTGTATCAGGTAGCTAAACCAGCCAATGACTCATCAGACACTGTAAATAAGAGTTTTCCAAAACACCCGGACATTAAGGGGCACTCTAACACACCTGAAGGAGGCCTACGCCAGTTGAGTAATGAATTATATTTATGTGGAAATTTGATTCATAAGTGAAAGATATGATTTAAGTCAGGTTTATCGGAATTAGTAAGTGTGCTAAGTATTGGGCTGATTTATCAGTGCGAATTGTAAGATTTATCACTGGTTGTATGGTGTATGAAGTTAAGACTACGTAAAATTGTTTATGTAATTCAACCAAAGCAGAATAAAGTGAAGTAATAGTATGGTATTGCAGGGCAGCTCAGCAGCCTTTGGACCGTCTGGCATGCAATATGTGGGAAGATATAGTCACGTCTAGCGGTTTAGATACACACATTTAAGGAGTGTTACAAGCTGCAGACTCTCGACTTCTGATTTTAGAGTCTAGAGTCACAATGGCACATATGTGGGTCTCAATGCACTTTGAAGAGCCTGCTTGGCAAGGGAGGTGCCTCACAGGCTAGAAGCATGGAAGCAGAAAGGGAAATAATTACTCTCAGGCAGTCCAAGACCGTAATGCACAAGCTCCTGAAGTCCCACTTGTTCAGCAAATTTTCATTCTCGATACTGGCAAAGGTGTTGGATTCTCATATGAGTTCAGCCAAAGTCATTACGTGTGGTTAAACTAGATAGCAAGGTTCGAAGGGGAGGAGGAAGAAACAAATGATAGGGGATTCGTGTGTTTGGAGAAGAGGCAGTTCTTTCTGTGGTCATATGTGATACGTTGCTAGCATGTTGTCTCCTTGGCGTCTCCAGCTTTAAGTTACAGCATGATTGCTGGGCATTCTTTTGGAGGATTGTGAACATCCAGAAGTTTGATCACACAGGTACAAATGTCTCGGGCAGAATGAAGATGACATCCTGAAACCAGTATTGCAGAAACCAGGATCAAGATTGATAAGAAGGAACTCAAAAGTAGCAATGTCCGTATTACTCCCAATCCAAATTGCCGTTCAGCATAGAAACAGGACACTTAGCGATTGAACAGAGATCTGGAAAGCTGGTGCAGTACAGCGAGCGTCCTGGGCAATTGTGACTGGTTCTGCGGCAGGTTGAACTTTTACACTATGTTCTTGACGTACTCTAACAGGAGACGGGTAAATATCCTCGCAGGAGTATTCATTCGTGCTGATGGGGAAGGTTCAAAGTAGATTGGGGAAAGAGGACTTCAGCCTAAGCTCGTAGTCGACTGCAGTAAATCAAAGCAAAGAAGAATAAAAGATAAATAGAAGACAAACAAAGATCAAAAAGGATCAAAACACAGAATAATGGCCAAATATTATTCAACGATCTATATCTGATGGCACGTAGAATTTAAAAAAGAATTGATGTTTTGAAAGCGTACATTTAGGTAACTGGACATGATTTGATTGTCAATTCGGAGAAGTTGCTAAGGGTGACCAGTACTGAGGACTGAATATCCAGGGTTATTGAATATACAGGAGAGATAGATAAAAAGAAGACAAAGTGACACGTTTAGTGTGGGACGAGATCAGTAGGAGTGGACCCCAGATCGAAGGATCATGATGTAGAATCAGGATTGGTGGAAGATTATGGTCCTATTGCTAAAATGTCAGTTATGGAGAGGATGCCAGAATTTCAAAGTCAACTTCGACAGGCTAAATCAATAGGCGAGTACATAGCAAATGGAAAACAGCCATATAGATCCATAACAAATAAAACAAAAGCCTTTCCACATATCAAGTCTGCAATGGCCGAATACAAGCACTGATTTATTTCGATCCAATCTTCCAACTGTTCGTCTATAGTTGTGTACGATTTGGCATCGCAAGTGTACATCTCATTACCTGTGAATAAAACGGAAATACATTTAAAACTCCATTTACGGGATATAGGCATCATTGGCTGGACATACATTTATTTCATATCCGTGGTTGCCCTGGATATGGCAGTGATGAGCTTCATTCTTCAACCCATACCGTCCACGTGGTTTAGATAAACTCATCAATGGAGGTAGATCAGGAGTTTTCCCCAGCAACATTGAAGGAATGGACGTATAGTACTCCGTATGGATGATGAGAGTTTTGGTGGGGAGCTTGCATGTGGTGGTTTGCATATGCATGTTTGACCATTATAGTTCTATACAGAGGTGGTTGGAAGTTTAGAAGATTTTGTCAAAGGAGTCTTGGTGAACTTCTGCAGTTCATGTTTTGATAATCCGTGCAGCTGCTGTTGAGGGTCGATTATAGATTTCACCCATAGAATTCAGCTCTTTAGATCACATTTGCTCAAAAGCTGTAATGAGATTAACAACTGAGTGCCCTGACTTGACATCAAACTTAGCAGCAGTGTGCAGATTATTGTTGGGCAAATGCTGCTTGATATCACCATTGATGACACCTTCACTTGCTTAACTCATGATCGAGGGTAGACTGACAGAGCGGTAATCGGTTGGGAGGCTTTTGTCAAACATTTTTGGAAACAATGTACCTGGATAATGTTTCTATATGGTTAGCGAGATGCCAATGTTGTAGCTGTACTTCAACAACGTGGCTCAGGGTGCAGAACATTCTGAAGCAGAAGTTTTCAGTACTATTGCCAGAATGTTGTTCGGAGCCATTGCCTTTGCAGCACCTAGCGTCTCAAATTTGTTTTGAAGTCACGTAGAGCTAATCAAATTAAGTGAAGACTGGTATATTTGATGCGACTGGCCTGTGGAAGAGGGCAAGATGTACGAAATCATTTACTTTGACGTAAGAAAGAAAGACACAATTTTTCTTGTAAAGTGAGAGGTTGAGAAATGTGAGCAACCCAAAGTATCTTGGCGCCCTTGATTGATTCATCAATCACTAAGAGTGAGCTTCCAGATTCACAAAGTAATGAGAAAGGCAAATTTTACGTTAGCCTTCCTTGTATAGGAGTAAACATTTGTTGCATAAGTTGCAAAGAGCCTTGTTCTAACCTGTACAGGAGTGTTGTGAACAGTATTGGCCCCCTTATCAGAGGAGGAATGAAGATATCATAGAGGGAATGCAATGCATTTCAACATAATAATTCCTGGGATGGCAGAATTGTTTTAAAGGGTGAGGCTGGGTTTGCGTTTCATTCAAATTTCGGAGAATGACAGGTGACATAATCGAAACATGCATTTTACAGGGCCCGACTGTGTGGATGCAGATAAAATGTGAAAAACTAATCTTATTTCCGTATCCAAAAAAGAATTGCACGGAAAAACTGTCTTAGATGCATGGCAATATAAGGATTCATTCAATAATTGCCCGAGTCTGCGGTGCCACCTCTGGAAATACGTAATAGTTACACTATTGCCATTTGCCAGCGCACAATATTGAAGCAATATTAGGAATAAATGTTTGAGAGTTTTAAAGATTTGAAATGTGTTGCAATGATTTTCATCTACTTTGTAATTTGACTTGTGCTACTTTGTATTTAACACTTAAATGATATTCTGAATAATCATGTTTGAATTCATTCATGAGATGTCATTGTTGCTTGCGAAGTCAACATGTATGCCTAATTTATAGCTTCGAATTCAGGAACTAGCGATTTTTTTATGCCTCAAATAATGGAATCGTGGGACCGCATCACACTTCAACGAACAAATTTAATTTCGAATTACATAGGAAGCCGTTTGATCGAAACCTTTGCGGTCAACAAGTTAGAAGGGTATAAGGAATGTCCCTATTAATGAGGGATAGACTACCATTGAATGAGGGATTTCCAGAGATCAGAGACCTCACTAGCGTCGCACATTGAAAAGTACATGCCACTATTCCCTTAACATCACAAAGGTCAATGATCTTATGTATTTATGCACATTTCCACAACTTAGTGTACTTGGTTGATTTCTGTATTTCATAGTGTTATAAAGCAGAGGTTGACTCCTTGGAGAACTAAAACTGTCATACACAAAGAGGAACACCTCGCCCTGTAATACGCAAAAAGAGTGTGAAAAGTGGTGCAATCGACCTTTCAGCATCTTCTAGTGGTTAGACAAAACAAATCCTTAAATGCACACTAAAACCAACAATAGCAATTTATTTATCTAAATTTAACAGAGAACAAATTAACTAAACTACTAAGAAACCGAATAAATTCCTTGTAACTACTAACAATTATCGAATAAAGCAAGATTCTAAAGGTATGCTGTTCTAATAAATACATGCCCCATTTACACAAAAAAACACTCGAATTTAGTCTCTCGAAATCTCTCGGTCCAGGCCCGAAACATCAGCCTTCCTGATCCTCTGATGCTGCTTTGCCTGCTGCGTTCATCCAGCTCTACACCTTGTTATCTCGAAATTACAGCCAGGTTACATGTCTTCTCGAATGTTCCGTCCCTTCTCCATCGATTCTTTTGTCAGGAATGCCTTCTCCGTTGACTCTTCTGTTAGGAATATGAACGAGTTGTGCCTTTGGTACATTGAGATGTTGCTTTCACTAAACCATAGCAGAAACCATGAGAGCCAATGATTCCCTCTTGACAGATGAGGGCTGTTAGCTCTGGCGAATGGCAGCTAGCTCTGGGGTCTTTGACCAGATGCACCTTTCTTTTTATACTGTTGATGAAAAAATGAATGTTTCTTACAATAGGATTGGCCTTATGTTGTCAAAACATCAGGCTTAAATTTAATAGGTTTTTGGTATCTCAGTACCTGGTTCAGACGCTGACATCTGCTAACGACCATCAAAAGGATTCTCTGAAGCCTCTCTGTGACATCCTTGACTCTGGCACCAGGGAAGAAATGTCTGAAGTCACATTTAGTGCAGCCGAATCAATCTGAAATTTCCTATAACTATTCCTCTTTCATTCTTGCCCTTCTCCTGTGCTGCTGATTGCCTGTAGTGTCATGGACTTGGTTGTTACTGCGCTTCCCTGACAGGCCATTGTTCACTGAAGTTTCCAGAATGGAATATGATGAGGAAACAAGTCAGGTTTATGTTTTATAGGTTGAATTCAAATCCCAATGTCAAATTGCTCATTTCAGCGTTTAATCAATAAGGCAACAAGACACAGTCTAATGTAATAGCCCAAGAAATGTTACTCACGTGGTAAAATGTACCTATTAAAACAGGGCAGCAGTTTTATGGGCGTTTACAGCTCTTCCTGTCCACTTGATCTGAAGGCACAGGCCGACATTCGGTTTCAGATCTCCTTTGAATTCCTCGAGGACCTTGTGCTTGCAATTGGACAGCAAGATGGCTTCACTTTCAAACTACCTATGTATCCTTGTCACCCAAACTGTTGTTTATTAACTCTTTCCAAGCCACCACCGTAATCAGTATGATGAATTGTATCATTATGTTCTGACTGGCCTAGATTAGGTGAGCTTAAGTGTTAATTGGTTTAAGGAACACAAAATCAATTTCTCAATGTCTATCAAGGGGACCAGGCATTGACTGATGTCACCTCCAAATGTCACAATCTGGCTGGTTCCTTGGTTCAATTATCCATGAGTCCACACTGTTAATTGAGTTTTAATACTGTCATTCAATGATGTTTTACGATTATAACAGGTCAAAGAAAAACAAAAACAAAAAAGGGAAAATGCAGTCAGGACCCAATTATTGACATCCTTGTGCCAATGTCTCAATCTGACGTAATTAGTGAGGTTCGCATTAATTCAGATGCCTACTCATCACTGACCATTTGCTCTTCTTCAGACACATACGTTGTATGATTTTTGAGTGCTTGGAATAGGGTTTACACTGTTCTTTAGATTTTAAAGGCAAAGTTCAAACATCCAGCAGATGAGTTTATATTGGTGTACAATACAGGAAAGAAGGCCCTTCAAGACTTCGTGTGTGTGCTAGTTAAAAACAAGCATGCCAATATCCTCATCCAATTTTCGACCACTTGGCTCATATTCTTATATGCCTTGGCATCGGATGTCCATCTGGGACACAGGGTATGTCCACGATTTCATACATTCTGGATGATGTACATTCTGCTTGGCCATTCTTACTTGCTGTCAGGTAATGCTAAAAAACTGCTTTGTTACTTCTCCCCCATCACCAAATCATCCGTGGTATTTCTTTTTACCTATTAATCACGGCCAGTAAATCACATATGTTCTTCAGTTGATTAATTTATGTGCAAAGCCCAATAAGGACATTGCAGAAAATGAAATTTGCGAGAAACATAAGGAGAGGGCCAGGGCACTAAATCAAAATGGCGTTCAAACCAACCCCTTTATACGTCGAGATTTCTGATGAGATACTTGGTTTTCTTAATTTTCTGCTGCAGTAATGAATACCGTATTCCAGCATGAATTTCAGGTGTTTAACAGATAACAACCACTATCATGCATCTGTCTCTTTAATAAGACTATTTTAACTTCCTGACAAGCTATTGGTTCCAGGTCTAAATATGACTTTTACTCTATAATTAAACATTCCTAGTCAAATTCCCGCTTTAGTCTAAATTCCAAGATATTTTCTCTGTCTCTGTATCACTTCTGTGAAGTTTCCCGCTTTTTGACCGTGCAGTCTAATCTGCCTGTATAAAAATATGAGCACAGAGAGCAAATGTTTCCCCTCAGCTTTGTTTGAACAGCCAGCCGCAAGGTTTGATTTAGTGACCAGAAAGCAATTTATAGACAAGACTGATTGAAGTACATTTCGCATTAACAAGTATTTTCTCAATTGTTGGAACTCAAACAATTACTGATGTTTGTGCACTCGTCAGAGGTTGGTTATGAACAACGACTAATCAGTCGTAACAAATACAGAAGTTGCTAGAAAAGCTTAACAGGTCTGGCAACGTCTGTGAAGAAAAAATCAGAGTTAACGTTTCAGGTCTGTGACTCTTCCTCAGAACTGATGGTGGCAAGGAAAACGTCAGTATACATGCAGAAGGTAAGGAGAGCGAATGGGGTAGGGAGTAAACGATAGGATAAGGGATAGAGCCCAAAGAGAGAGAAGAGCAGTGGGATAGTCAAAGGGGGTGATCAAGATCTGTCTCAGAGCATGAATAGCTGTTAATTGGGTCTGTTAGTGACTGTCAACAAATAGTGACTAACCAGCCGTGTTTATGCACCGACTTAGATTGTAGATGATGTTCAGAGCCATTTCAGTAACATTCCTCTCTTTTGATCTCTCACAGCCAATTTGGTGGCAATCATAATCCTTTCCCGAGGATGGTGCGGACTCTCCCGGTGCGTCACTTACTACTTGTTGGTCATAGGGGTGTCTGATTTCCTTGTCATTATCACCTCTGTCATCCTCAACAGGATTGGACGTATCTACTTAAGGTATAGTGCTCTCTCAACTACACCCGGTTGCACACTTAGTGCGGTGCTGGTTCGTTGCACTCGGGATAGCTCTGTTTGGCTGACAGTGGCATTCACCATTGACCGCTTTGTCGCCATCTGTTGCCAGAGCCTGAAGACCAGATACTGTACTGAACAAATTGCATTGTTGGTTATAGGAACGATCTTTGTCCTGAGTTGCATCAAGAACATTCCCTTTTACTTCATCTACCAACCCTTGTACATCCAGGATAAAGTGCCCTGGTTCTGTGACGTCAAGGTCTCCTTCTATACTTTGCCTGTCTGGCAGGCCTACCACTGGCTGGACCACATCTTAACCCCGTTTCTTCCATTCCTTCTCATACTACTTCTCAATGCACTGACTGTGAGACACATCTTCGTGGCCAGCAGAGCCCGCAGGAGGCTTCGAGGTGCATTGAGTCGTGAAGACTCAGAGATGACCAACCGCAATAAGTCCACGGTGCTGCTTTTCACCATCTCTCTCAGCTTCCTCTGCCTGTGGATCACCTATGTCGGGCAGTTCCTCTACGTGCGGGTTACAGGTGTGGGCTACTTCACGGGTCTGAATTTCAATGACCCACTGTACATCTTTCAAGAGATGGCTAACATGCTCCAGTTACTCAGCTCCTGCAACAACGTCTTCATTTATGCAATATCACAGATCAGGTTTCGAGAGGAACTGAAGAATATGCTGATGTGTCCCTTTACGACGATCACTGCTTGCATTAAACAGTGAAACAAATCCACAGTCAATGTTTCGAGTCCAGTGACTCTTCATCACAGATGAAGGTGGCGAGTATGATTACCAGACAAGAAGGATTACTAGACACGAATGTCGACTGTATTTTCTTTCTCCAGCTGTCGCGAGACTTGCTGAATTTTTCCAGCAATTTCTGTTTTTGTTTCAGGTTTCCAGCATCCTCACTTATTAATTTTATTATTCAAACAGAAAAGACTTCCTCCCGTTATTTCAGTTCATCAGGTTATTTCAGTGTGTAGCACGCTGTCTCCATTGTATATACGGTCCTTCACTCTCGAGAGTAAGGTCCATGCCCAGTGCAACAATTACGACTTCCCAGCACGGGCTCCTGTGGCACACTAAGTCTGAGGACGCACACCAACAGCCGGGTTTCTGATGGCCTCATGTTTTGGGGGTGAAAGTTAGAGATTAAGCATTAGAACATTAAAATCGACAAGATTAACGTGAACACACAGATTAATGAACATTTCAGTGGCAGATTAGCTGTGCTGGGTTCTGAACGTGCAACGGCCGAGGGAGGGATATTTCTGGTGTCAGCAATAGTGTGGATATCTGCAAGTTATCTTGGGGTTAAATCTACGGCTGAGATTGTGAAGGGTGACTCAGTCCCACATCGTTCTTTAGGAAAGCGGCAGTAATGATGCAGAGATGGGCATTGTCAGCGTTGTGTGAAACATTACGGTTCAGGATGATGCCAGCAAGGAGGAACGTGTTGGTGAGAAATAGAAGGAACATAAACGGATGTTTGGCGTCACCAATTTTGCTACGGCGGTGGAGAAATGGGGTAGGTAACAGTATTTTGAAGAAAAAATGGGACCATCTATTTTTTTCTCCATATTAGATTTGACAATGGATGTAGAAGTGAGAGATATAGAACCAGTAAGATAACTGTAAACTACATTGGTGAACATGAGTAAGTTGACGTTCAACAATTTAGAACGAATGGGTTGAGGCAGTAGGGTCTGGTCTGATGTGCAAGACGAGCTCTGACAAATCGTGACAGGAAGTAGAAGAGAAACTGGAGCAAAAATCAGTTCAGGTTGCAGTCAAAGAGGAATTGAGAGTCAGTTTGGACACTTTGCTATTGGAAGGGGAGGACGTTTTATTCTAGTTTGGCTCCCTTTAGGCCCTGCATGGATTCGGCCCGCTGGCAGATTCTGTAGACAATCTATGAACAACAAAACAAAATCGTTGCTGGCAGCCAGGGTCTTTACAGCACTTTCTTACTCTGAATACTCCTTTTTTGAAATATCATTTCATCTCACTACATTGGTGAAGTACATTCATTCTAGTTCTCGAGACTTACACGGCGGCTATCATGTAAAATATCTGACTGATGGCAAGTTTAAACTTAGGGTAACCAACGCAACAGGCGAAGGGTAAGTCTTGAGAAGGCTGGACCTTCTTGGTAACTTCAGCTACTGTGGGAGTTCAGCCTGCTTTGTTGGCCACACGCTGCATTTTTACGATCTTTTTCATTTGATAAATGCAAGGACAGATCTGATGAAGCGATTAGACTGAAACATACAGAAGAATTGAAGGTCTTCTATTATTGTTATTCTCGGCGATGGGGTAAAAGCAAAGATGGCTTCCCTCGTGGATGGCCCCGAGCCACCAATCTTTCTCTTAAAGGCCAATCGCACTGACCAATTGCACGACAGAAGCTGATGATCTCAATGCTTGCACGATCCCCGAAAACAGGGTTCCATGAATTAAAGCTTCAGATTGATGCTTCCGGAATGTAAACTGTTCTCTATCAGTTTTACTTTTCCAAAATAAAGACTGGGGCATTCAATGTGAAGACCTGAGAATAGTTTGATCAGACCCACTGTAGACACACCCATGTCACCGGAGCTGTTTCCCTTCAAGTCCTTCGGTATCTTGTCTGTTCACAAGTTTCCTGAAGCTGAGACGAGGTTTCAATTCCTGTTGTGTAGTAACGAGAAACCTTTCAGTGCCTCAGATTAGTTAATGTCACTGAGAACATCAGAGTCAATGTCCCAGTCTCCAAAAGAACGGGAAGGTGCCTTGACCATCTCTGCTCTGTCGAACTATTTACCATCATTCTCCTCTGGTATTGGTTCATAAAGAGTTTCTAAAGTTCATAAAGATAGGGCTGGGTTTTCTGTTCTGTTCCCTTCACACTTTTCCACTTGCCAAATGACACGAATGTCCTGCAGTCTTTCCACAATTCTCAGCTTTGCCTCAGGTCTAGAGGTGAGGAAATTCAGTTTTATGGAGAGTTTTCCGAGGCCGGGATTGTTTTGAAACAAAAAAGAAATTGCTGGAGATACTCAGCATCAGTGGAGAGAGAAACAGGGCTAATGTTTCCAATACCGTCTGATTTTCATTGAGAACTCACGTTTCCTCAATGTGAACAAGGCAGGAAAGTTGAATTGATGATTCTGAGATCAGCCTTGATCTCATTGAATGGTGGAGTAGAATCGATGGGCTGAATATTTTCCGTCTGCTCCTGAGTATTAATGCCTTGTAGACACACTCACTGCCTGACAAGCAAACTGTGACCTGCACCTTTCGCCACCATTCTTATGCAACCGATCGAGATCAATTCTCTGTTCATGCCAATCCCAGGATTTGATATTACGCGATCCAACGGTGCCTAATATTTATTGCCCATCGTTGTATGGCCCTGGCGTGAACTGACTTGGTTTCTCAAAACAATTCAGTGTGTAGTTGAGAGTTAATAAAATTGTTTGAGTTTGGAGCCATATACTGGCCAGAACAGATTGCCCAGAATTGATCACAGATTTCCTTTGTTAAGCACTCAGGAAACACACAGGATTCACACACAAATCTGCACGCATACACACACAAACACACACACATACATACATGAGCGCATACACATACCATATTTAAATGCCAATAGTTTATTGTACACTATTTCAGAGAACAGCGCTGAATTTCAGCTTTTCATTCAAATTCTGCTCGTTTTGTAGGATTGGAGCAGATGTCCTAAAAGCATTAATTGGGTCTCCAGGTTGCTAATTCAGCACAGTTACCTGCTCCCCCGAACCGTAGGTGAAATGAAAGCAATAAACACAAAGGCACTTATCAAAAAAAGAGAAAAAAATGAATTGCTCTGACCATGAAAGCAGGAAGTAATGAGTAATGTGCCTGAGATTGGTGAATACAGGACTTGACCTCAGCACAGCGTTTGCCATCAGCAACTCCACATGATGGAGACGAAACGCTTTGATTCGTGGGTAAAGGGTATCACGCCAGCCAGCTTTTCAACCACATGGAGGGTGGAATCGTCCTTCTTGTCAATATGACAAATGGAAATCAGGCAGAAATCAATTCATCTGTTCGGTCAGTGAAGCGCAAGTAAAGTGAATGTTGTAATTTACTTGTTCCTTTGGAGACTCTTACCAGGAACAAATGAGGGAAGCTTTGAAAGTGTCACAGAGCAAAGGCATAGAATTTGTGTAATTCCATCAGTTTCTGAAACACAATGCACGGTGCAGCGAATGTGCACAGTTTTGCCATTTTGTACCCCATTCTCGATGTTGTTGGTGTCTTTTGTAAGTCACGATGTTAAACAAGTTATTTACTGTTTTCTAAATCTCAGCTGATCTTGTCTCGTCCTTTTCATTTTTATTTAAAATATTCATTGTTCCATGAATTGCACTTGTTCTAAACTATACCAGACAGAATGTGATAATTAAATTGTGTAAAGTGTAGCAATTGTGTTTGTATTATGCGGCAAAGCACGCTATTATTTAATTTGTAATACTCCGCATTTACAGAAATAGCTTTTAGTCGATTTGTGAAACATGTCTGCCAACGTATGGTGTTGCCTGAATCATTAATAATTGTCATTATTAAGCATTAGGTTTTACAATAATTCTGTAAAGTGCATTCTAGCCTAGTCAGTGTTGTTGGAACTAATAACGAATCAAAGTCCTGTGAAGTGCATGACTGCAACTTACAAGTGTATCTGAAAATGGATGATTACATTTATTTAATAAATTGTAACATGCAATATATTTGGTCGTTATACTCATGGATACTCCGACTTCAGGAACGACTTAACTGTTACAGTATCTTACTGTATAGTGATTACCCACTTGACATTCCCACTGTTAATGTGGTCATATATACTTACATTTGTTTTAATCGTTCGTGGGATGTGAATGTCGTTGCCACAGTGAATATATGCTGCTCATGCAGAGTTCTGATGGACTCTGAATGTTTTCTCTGTTTCTGTCTCCACAGGGACGGTCAACCGGCTGAGGTTCTCCACCAGTTTCTGTTTGTATTATTGCGCCTATTTCTGGTTTTCGTCTCAGAAACTGGAATACAGCTGCTTTCTCCAGCTGCTACTGTAGGCACAGTGGTGGATAATGCACAGGAGATATGACAAACAACCCGAAACTGAATAACAGAAGGAAGTATTACAGTGGATCACCAAAAGTGTGATCAATCATTTAGGTTCGAAGGATCATTCTAAAGAAGGAATCAAAGACGACCTATTGGGAGTGGGGTGTGGGCGGTGGGGAGGTCGGTTTGTTTTAGCACTCAGGGCCCTGGCAACTGTAGGCATAGCTTGCACCAATTGAGTGATTGAAATTCGTGATGTGCGAAGAGACCAGATTGTAGAATTTTAGAAGACGGGAATAGTGAGATTATAGAAAAAAATGAAGGGCGAGTTTAACAAAACAGACCCCTCAAAAGATTTAAAAATTGGAACAACATTCCCTGTATCTACATCATGCATAGTCAAACTATTACTTCCTCGCTTATTACCACATATCTCCCTATGCGATAATAATAACTCTTTCAGATGATTTCGATTTTCCTCTGGAAGGTAGCTCAATAAGTTATCCCAATTTTTAAGAACTTCAGCATCGTCCAACTTAATTTGAGGAATGGCCAATTCAGAATTCTCTCGTGATCCTTCACTCTGTGTTGTAACCAGTAACACATTCTCCTTTTGCTTTCCTTCCCTGTCA